GCGGGAGGAGGGGGGAGAGGAGACGGAGCGTCGAGACGGTGGTGGAGGGATCACCGGACAGACCGACCAGGGTGCCGCGCCGCGTGTGCAGCGGTTGCGATGCGGAGAGGGTGACGGAGAGGAGCGAGTAGGGCGTCCCGATCACCTCGAAGACGGCATCTAGAGGAGATTGTGAGCAGGGGAGTATACATAACACAGATAGACAATGGTACCAGGGGTGGAGGCTGAGCGCGCCGTCTGCTCTACCACACTAGAAGAGTCTGACGACGGCGCTGCTTGTATCTGGATATGTCGCCGGCTGTCAGCTACTCTGAAGTATTGCGAAGCTGCAGCAGATTGTCTCGGATGGTTCGACAAGCGCTGGAATCTGGACCTTGCTGGCGCACGCATGTTTGCGCATTTCTTCATCTTCGAGCTGGCCGAGTTTTGGTGGTCGCGATCCTGGCTGGATCATCTGGAATTCGGTACCAAAATTACACCTCATAACTACGCAGGGTACAGAGTATTTGTCCAAGAATACACAGCAATACCGTAGCGTAATTATAGCCCTTTACAGCTCGTCTTCAAGCCACTTGTCTATCACTAATACAGGATCGACCAACGAAGCGAATAGATCTCGCACAAGAAAGCAGCTCTTCTCGATTGTGCATCATCATCATCATCATCATCATCACCACCTATCACCTGTAAAGTGCGGACCTTTACTGTCTTACAGCCTCGTTTCTTACTTACCTGCTTCCGTCCCATGTTCTCAGACTCTGCTGGAGTGTAAGAAATGTCTCTTTTTAATCTCACTGCCGCCTCGGCTACTCTCTCGACCGTTTCGTACCTGGCATAAGGATTTACAGCCACAATATGTGGTTACTAATCTGCGCAGCTACCATCTCTTTGTCTTCATCTCCAACATTTTCTCAGCACCAGCATGGATGAAGCGCCGATCCCGGTTGCAGCTACTGAATTTACTGTGCTGCACGATGATCCAGAGGCGGATGCAGATTCGAGCAGACGGATCAGCCACCGCATCGCTAGATGCTTATGGTTGCAGTATTGTCTTGGTGCATTGCATGGAATTCAGGCAAGTCCCTCGAGACATGGACGGGCTCAAATCCAAAGAGAGTACGTCTCATAACTCCTACTGTCCACATCTTCGTTCTGTCGGTCGAGAACCTCACAAACTGCAGCGGAAGAGATATTCACTCAACCTCACGATATCAGAGTGCTGGCCACGCGATTTGTTGGAGATAGGTTGCCCGGATAGGCGGACTATGACCAGAGTTAATGAGTCAGACGTCTCATGTTATCGCGGTGGTCTTCCGGGTCGGAGTAGTGTTCTTGGTCATGCAAACGATCTGCTCTACTCTAGATCGGTCAGCTTTACAATAGGTAAAGGTCTATTGATACTATATGTACGGGGAGCCTAATATGGTATTCGGCACACACCTGGTGATAAACCAGTGACCTCTTGAAGAATAAGTAAGTGGCAATTGTTGAGCGCCCACCCGCGAATAATATCCGTTTCCACCCTGGCTGTACACGTTGAACGTGGTGAAAATCAATCATGGATTTGTTCTTGCTTTCTGCTTTGTCAAAAATGGTGCTGTATCGGCTATTGAGTTGTGGGAAAGGTAACGATTCATGTTACGTTTGTTGTACTAATGGACAAGTGGACGGAGGATGTTGATATATTCTAGGCCATTTGAGTTGATTCTACAACGCTGCTGCCCTGTCGCTCGTCTGGCTTTTGAAAATAATGATTCCTAGGGGGAGCGGTCAGCCGAGTCCACATTCTTGCACGCCCTTGTCGCGAATCCTTACGTGACCATCTTGCCAATCATGTCAATGGCAAGGTTCAAATTTGCTTCCTCAAGATAGAGCAAACTCTTGTTCTCTGCGTGCTCGTGCGGGATATTCCTGAAGACTTCAACTGACTCAACGATTCCGGGTATCAAACTTGTGATATGGCTGGCACTGAAACCCGGGTCAATGATTGCTCCCTAACGTTTCCATGTGGCACTTTCTAGCGTCACTAAACCTTCTTTGCCCGTTAGTGGCTCAAGAAAGCTACGTAAACCTTTGCCCTGAGGTATTTGATCTGCCTGAGTCGGCTGATATGCCATATCTGGCTTGAGAACCACAAGTAGAGGGGTTTGCAAAGGCCAGGTATCCAGGTAGAATGCGCTGTCAAGGTGGAGGATAAGGTTGATGAATCTGATCTCTGATATAGACTCTCTGAGCAAACAGAGGCATGCTCCTGATTAAAGGGCTATTCTACTGTGCGGAGTGCGGAGTCACGTGACGCCAAGACAACGGCTTGGCTGTACGACTCGGATTACAGAGTCGTGCCCCAAAAGTAGTAGTAGTCAAACACGGTAAAGAGATACGTGCCAAGTGGTGCACTCTTTCCAGCTATGTAATTTGACTCCTCTGTAAGCTTTAGGCCTACTGACGACCTAAATATTACGGCTTCGGATGATCTTTGGTCTTGAGTTATCTGATTTTAGGGCTACCTTACCCTAGAATAATGGTTGCTTGGGGAATATACAGTACTAGGACAAAAGTATCTGACCAACCCCACTTTCGTACCCCACCAACATTTGGGACCATCTTCATACAAATTACTATAGTAAGTTATCAACTTGATGGATTCTGATGAAAAACAGCTCAAAATGTTCAGAAACATCCAGAGATTGAGGCTGGGCTAATTTCCTAAATAGGCAGTCGATATTCAGAATCTGGTGTACCATCCTTTGGCCGCAATGACCGCATTCACTCGACTATCCATGCTCTTGATGAGATTGGCCACAGCTTCTTCTCCTATGGCATCCCAACCCTCATAAATTGCTCTGAACAGACGTTGATAATCCTCCTCTGATTTGCTTATATTAATTAGCTCTGGGTGGTGATCATTAATCCATTGCTTGAGTTGCGCCCAGAGGTGTTCAATTGGGTTGAGATCAGGACTATAGGCTGGCCATTCCATCAATTCTATGCCCTCCTCTTGAAGCTAATTGATAATCTTCTTCGCAGTATGGATTCAGGCATTATCTTGCATGAATTTGCGCCCTGATTTGTATAGCTAAGGCATCTGCTTACAAAGCACTGCTAGATAAGAGTTAGTAGTTGTTACGGCACAAAATGCCCTATGGCCTAGAGAGGCGTTAGGGCAGGGCATGGCGTTAGCCCAAGCATTGGCTGTGCGCCAAATGCTCCACCAGTGCTATGCCGCATCCGGTCTTAGGGCTGAGGGCTAGGGCAGGCTTGGCGCCCTGCGCGTCATACCTCTATCCTCGCCTCCATAGCACTTAGATAGTCAGCCATCACCATACCATTCGACATAGTTATACAGTTGCCTTCTATAGCTTCTTCGTGACTCTCCGCTATCTCTATAGCACCCTCATACCCTGTTGCACAGCTTTCCGCGTAACAGTAGTATATCCTGACTTCTCTAAATTAGGATTGCGCTCTAATAATATAATATCTAAATAAACCTTCTTTATAAATTATACCCTATATTTGAGATAGTGATCCAACTTCACAAAAGAAGAAAAGAGTTATGTAAAAGCTTTGTGGTCTTGTGACGGTTAGGCTCTTGTGAATCTTCTCGAGCATTTCTGGGTGACTATGGACATCTGTGGGCATTCATGACTAGCTGTGGTTTCTTTGACTTTGCTGCAGGCGCCCCCTTAAGAGGCCGGGTATTTGGGGCAACGTGGGGCATGGCTGTGGCATTCGTAGAATTCTCGTACGATCTCAGAGGCGTGAAGGAGGTGAGCTGCGGGCTCTTAGGTCGTTTCGTTGTAGCCAGTCTATTTAACTCTGAATTAGAATAGTCTTCTTTTAAGAGCTCTTTTTGCTTCTAGAATAATTTTAACTTCTTATTCTATTTTATTAGATATGTTATTACTTATTATAGGTCTTAGAGGAATATCTATATAATATAGTCTTAACAAGGCAATATAGAAAATAAGGAATATTCTTAAGGACAAGGGCAGAGCTAATTTGTAAGCTATAAATCTTATAATTTATTTAATCTTAAATAAGCTAATCTATTTATTATTAAGTTTCTTATATAATTATTATATATAGATGTTTCTGATGTTTAGTTATACTTTATCTTCTTTATAATATACTAAAGCAAAGTATTATCTCTAGTTTTTATTTATTATATTTATAATTTTTGCTTAGTTCTAAACTAGTTCTATATAATAATAGTCTAAGAGTTCTTTTATAAATATTAAAATATCTTTTATATAAGAGTTAAAAGAGGTCTTAGCTTAATTAAAGCTTATTTTAGGATTAAAGCCTTTATTAATAAAGAATAAAGACATATTTATAAGTTCTAACTTATAGTTATTTATAGCAAATTTAGCTAATATAATTTATTTAGCCTAGTTGTCTTATATATAGTTAATATAGCTTTATAAGTAAGTCTCTATTACTTAATTAACTTATTTTAATTATTTGTTTATTTCTAAGTAATATATAATAGATAGTTTTACTTTAATATCTAGTCTTTTATATAGGCTATTCTAGAATTTACTAATAAATTATAGATTCTATTAAATATTATTAACTTAGAGAGGCTATAGTTGTAAATAATAAAGTAAATAAATATTCTGATTAGATGTTCTGTTTTTATATTATAATAGGGCGCTAGGTGTCTCTCTTTAATCAATTAGTTTGTTAAGACTTAAATACTTATAGCACTAGAGAAAATGCTATTAGATTTAGAGAGGTCTATAACAAAATCTATAACTAGATGTTACTATTGTTTCTTAGGCGGCTCTAGTGCCTGTAGTTGACTTTAGCATTTATAAGAGGGTTTTGTATAACAGTATATAGGACATTTAGCTAGCTGTTCCTTTACTAAGTCTATTATCTTTAGCTAATAGAATTATCATTATAGGATCTTATAAGTCTTTGCAGGGCTTAAGTGACTAGTTATTAGCTATTTATAGTATTCGTTAATATAACAGAGTCTTAGTTCTTTATTTTTAGGAATCTATAAGCGTTATTAGTAATATAGTTTATTATTCTCTATTAAATAATTAGCTAACGTGACTATAAGAGACCTTCTAACCTTAAACAGAAATTATTAATAAGTTACTTAATAAGGATCTTCTTAGGCAAGATTCTGATATATAGTAATAATATCTTCTTTTAGAATAGTTCAGGGCTATAGATTTATTATATGTAGGGCTATAATATTATCTGTGATTATGTTAGGGCCTTCTTTTAACTCAGGTAATCTCTTGTAGTAATATAGGATTCTTATAAATCTAATTAGATAGACAGGAATAGGTTCTAATATCTAGGGGTCTAGATTCTTCAGTTTTAGGACTACTTGCTTAAGGAACTTCTTTCTATTATTATTAGTGTTAGTGGCTTTGTCTTATGATCTGCAGGATAATTCATCTGTATAGCACTATAACCTAGGGCAGTACTTGATCACAAAGTTAAAACAAAAGAGGAACTTACTCTAACAGACTTGTTAGCAGGATAGTTGTTTAGATAACATAAAGTATTTAAGGTTCC